GCAAAGATATTAAGTTCTATATTACACTAAAAGAAAACATTCGGTAATGGACTGTGACACTTGTAATAGGGGTCTTTTTGAATTTGAGCATGGTGAAGGTCAGAGATTTTTGTATGTAGCAGCTTGTTTTTAGGAAGAATTTGATTTTTAGAATAGTATGATTCTAGTTTTCTTATTTTGATACAGATTTATCTTCTTAGTAGTAACCCCCAAATTTATTTGGGAGTGCCCTACCAGAATACACAAATACCAAAGGATTTCTGCAGTTTGGCATAGTTGTTAAGAAAAGCATTTATATGCACACCTCTGGGATATTTGCCTACAAAAATACTTTTTGTTGGACTTGATCTAAGAAAAAAAAATTTAAATTGATTTTAGAGAGAGAGAGAAACATGGATTTGTTGTGCCATTTATTTATGCATTTATTGTTTTTTTGTATGTGCCCTGACTGGGAATTGAACCTGCATCCTTGGTCTATCAGGATGATGCTCTAAGCTACTGAGCTTCCCAGCCAGGACAAGGAAAATTTTATTGGAGCAATAGCATAGTACTTTTTTGGCTTTGGCAAGATGCCTTTTCTCTCTCTCCTAAACATTTGTTTTTATGGGGGTGATACAATACTACTCTTATAAAGTGCAGTCAAGCAGTTTTCAGAGAAAACGGAATCAAATGAACAATAATCTTTATCTGAAATAATTGAAGTAATTCTTTTGGTTTTTATCTTTATATAGAATCTCTTTACAATTCTGAAGAGTGTATATTTTTTTGTTTTGTTATTCCTGATAATTTTTATATATTCATTTATATTGATAGTGATCTACATCTATATATTTTTTGTCTTTAGTCCAATTATGTTACTTTATTTTCCTATTATTTGTTATTTTTACCTTTCTTGCTATCATGTGTAGTGCTGCTGGATATATATGTTTCTAATTTTTGAGGTAAGATTTTTTTTTTCCAAAGTGTATACCAAAATGGAATAATTTTTGAGGTAAAGTTTTAAGGCAGTTGTGATTTATGCTCTTTAGTTCTGGAAGCATGGTAAACCCATTAACAGTGCCTTATTTATGTCCTGTTTTTATAGATGCCTGCCAATAGTGGGATGAGGTTTTAAAATTTTACTTTTGCTATTAATGACATGCATGTATATCTATATATTTTAAATTTATATTTATTTTAATTCTCACTTGAGGATATGTTTTTATTGATTTTAGAGAGAGAGGAAGGGGAGGGGAGAGAGAGAAAAGAAATATCAATGTGAGAGAAATATCGATTAGTTGCCTCCCATATACACCCTGACCAGGGATCAAACCTGCAACCTGGGTATGTGCCCTGACTGGGAATTGAGCCTATGACCCTTGGTACATGGGTCAGCATTTTAACCAACTGAGCCACACTGGCCAGGGCACAATATATTTTAATATCTATCTATTCTTAATTAATAGCTTTTTAACAAAAAAAAACCCACCTTTTACAATATTATAATTTATCGTCCTAGGTACATTTAATCTTGTTTTATGAGGATGAATTGGAATTTATATAAGTTTATATAACTTTGTGGCCCTCGGTTTATTTACTTTGCAAACTTTTTGTAATATTAAAAATGTGGCTCTGGCTGGTTTGGCTTAGTGGTTAGAGCAAGCAGCCCTCAGACTGAAGGGTCTTGGGTTTTATTCTCAGTCATGAGCACAAACCTGGGTTTCAGGTTGGATCTCTGGCCCCGTGGGTTCATGCAGGAGGCAACCAATCGATGTGTCTCTCTCACATTGATGTTGCTCTCTCTTCCTCCCTCCTTCCCTTCTACTCTGTCTGAAAATCAATGGAAAAATATCCTCAGGTGAGGAGTAACCAAAAAAAAAAAGTATCCATTTTGATGTTTACTTTAGTGAAATATCAAAATACTTTATTCTAAAACGTGAAATAATAACATAAATTTGTAAAGTCTTGTTGGTGAAAAGTTTCTTTGTAAGAACTCTGTTTCTAGTTGTTTTCTTAAGGAGATCTTTAAATAGCAATCCAAATTTTATCCTTTGGAAAATTTCTGATGAGATTTATAAATGCCATAACATTTCATTGTAAACCTCATGACCTTATAGCCATTTTCCACTCAAAATTGGAAACAAAGGTTTTCGAGAAAATCATAAAGTTGTTTAAAAAGCGAGGAAGAAATTTAATTTGGTTACATTTTGGCATCATTCATGTCTCGCTTTAGACTATAAAGCTTTTGACTGTAGTGAATTCTCTGTGTGTCCATTCTATTTCAGCATTGGTGTCAGGCAACTGAGCCTTTAGATGTTTGTCTATTTTAGATAGACATGAGGTATTCTAAGGTTAGGTTATCAGGAAGTAGATTTTCTTCAGAGCTTCTGACTGAGTGAATTCTAGGAAAGTCTAATGCCAATTGGAGACCACTTTCTAAGAACTTAGATGGAAAAAATAGCTCACTGAATGTCATTGTTCGTTTGAATTACAAATGTAGGCAACAGTATTTCACTATAGTTGTTTTTTGTCATAATTCTATGTATTTTAGGAACTAAAAGGTATGATTTTAGGAATAGGTCTATAGTTTCCACCAGAGTGCAAAAGGGTTCATGGCCCACTGAAATTAAAGATCCCACCCTATGGAGAATGGATTCTTTAATTTTAGATGACTGCAGAATTGGCCTTTATTCATGGAGGACAGTGCTAGTCTGCGTTAGACTATGATAGAGAGGAGTTGGCTAGGATTGATTGCTCGACTCTAGAAAAGGGCCTGAATGAAGTGGTCTCATATCATCACAGGCTGATGGGCAATTTATTACCAGCAAAAATTGGGAAAATGTAACTTTGTTTACATAAAATGCTAGTTATTTTTCTGTTTTATAAGTTCATGGCTATCGAACTACATTAGAAAATAAAAATGAGGAAAAAAACACCTGTAATGATTTTCTTTTAAGATGTTTATCACCCTGGCCGGTTTGGCTCAGCAGTTAGAGTGTTGGCCTGCGGTCCAGAGAGACCCAGGTTCGGTTGCAGTTTGTCCCTGGCCCTGGTTGGATCATGCAGGTGGCAACCACTCGATGTGTCCCTTTCACATCCAGGTTTCTCTCTCTCTCTCCTCCTGTCTCCCTTCCATTCTATCTGAACAAAAAAAATGAAAAATTGTCCTCGGATGAGGATAAAATGAATAAATAAATAAAAATAAAAATAAAGATTTTTATCTCCTTACAGCTCTTTTTTAATGACATATATACTGGTATTTGTATATGTATGTATATTATGTACACACATATGTAGACAGTTTTACATATAGAAACATACATATGTGCATGTACATGTATTTTTAAAAAATTTATTGATTTTAGAAAGTGAGAGAGAAACATTGATACTTTGCTTATTTATATATTCATTGGTTGATTCTTGTATATACCCTGACTTGGGGGGGTGGCGAACCTGCAACCCTGGCACATTGGGAGGATGTTCCAGTCAACTAACAACTGAGCTACCTGGCCAGGGCTATACATGTACTGCTTTTTTTTTTTTAATCCTCACCTAAGGACATTTTTTCATTTTTTTGTTCAGATAGAGTGGGAGGGTGAGAGAGAGAGAGAAACATCGACGTGAAAGGGACATATCGAGTGGTTGCCACCCACATGACCCAACCAGGGCCGGGGACAAACTGCAGCTGGGATACATGCCCTTAGCGGGAACCGAACCTGAGTCTCTCTGGACCACAGGCTGACACTCTAGCCGCTGAGCCAAACTGGCCAGGGCTACATGTATTGCTTTAAAAAAAAAAAATTTTTTTAAAATCTGAGGATATTTTTCCATTTTGTCTTCCGACAGAGTGGGAGGAGGAGGGAGAGAGAGAGAAACATCAATGTGAGCAAACTGCAACTGAGGTATGTGCCCTTGACCAGAATTGAACCTGTGACTCTGGTCCACGGGACGATGCTCTAACTGCTGAGCCAAACCAGCCAGGACAGTATTTTTTTTTTTCTTTATAGGTTTTAGAGAGAGAGGAAGGGAGAGGGAGAAGGAGAAGAGAAACATCCATGAGAGAGAACATCGATTGGCTGCTTCCTGCATGCCCCCCACTGGGGATTTGGCTCACAACCTGGGCATGTGCCCTGACTGGGAATCAAACCAGCGACCTCCTGGTCCATGGGTGAACGCTCAACCCCTGAGCCACACTGTGTCTGGGCTCATTTTTGTTTTTAAAAAGTACATGTATAGTCTGGCCAGTGTGGCTCAGTGGTTGAGCGTCGACCTATGCACCAAGAGGTTACTGGTTCAGTTCCCAGTCAGGGCACATGCCCAGGTTGTGGGCCAAATCCCTAGTGGGGGGCATGCAGGAGGTGGCCAATCGATGTTCTCTCTAATCAATGTTTCCATCTCTCTCCCTTCTCTCTAAAGTCAATACAGAAAAAAAAATTTTTTAACAAAAATGAGATTATACTCTATAAATAATTTTTCTCTCTTTTGGGTTCAGGTTTATTGAAGTATAATTTGCATTAAGTAAAATTCACATTTTTTTTTTAGTGTACGTTTTTGAGAGATTTGACAAACACAGAGAGACCTGTAATCCCCACTGTAATCTAGATTTGGAAGTTATGTCACTCCCCAAAGTATTCTTGTCTTTTTGTAGTTATCCTCATTTCCTTGTAATCATTTATCTCTTTTTTGTTCCTTTTACAAAATGTTAATATAAATGGCATTGTACATTATGCAGTTTCAGGTCTGGATTCTTTTAGTTAGCATATATTTTCCTTTAAGGGTTTTGGTTTTGGATTATTATGCTCCAAGAATCTTCTATCAAATTGCTGGAAATATTTATGTCTATTATTTTTCTAAGAATTACAGTGCTTCAGTATTGAAAATTTAAGCCTTTTGTTAGCTTGGCACTTTAGTATAAATTGTGAGGCAGAGAATTAAATTTTTAAAAAGTTTTCCAGTTTAGCTTTATTTATTAAGATTAAATTAGTATTGTAATACTCTTCCTAAAATTGATTTCCTCACAGGTAGCAAGACAGCCGGGACCCCCGACCCCTTCCCCTTATGCAGCACATGAATTAAACAAGGGGCATCCAAATCTTGCGGCAACGCCCCCGGGACATGCATCGTCCCCTGGACTCTCTCAAGTAAGAAAAACTATATTAAGAAAAAATTCCATGTAAAAGCAGCATTTTTGTTTTTCTAAAGCAAACTTTTAAGCAGTACTTCCGTTACTTAAAGAGTAATTTTTGTTCTGTATTTGGTATTCTTTTAGACACACCTCTCATAATGGTGTTTACTAACAATTTTATGCATGGAGGCTTTCGAAATGAACTCTCAGTGATATTTAGTTTTTCTTTTTGTTGTTTTAGAAATTAAAATGTGATTCTAAAATTTATTAAAAACCACAAAGCATTTGTTTGCTTTTCAGTGCATAAACTGTGGTCTTCCCTCTTCCTTTTTGGTGGAATGGTGGTGGTTATTTTCTAGTTTTGTAAAAAGTATGGTGTCTTTTCCTCTTGAGTAATTTTAGTGAGCTTTTTTGTTTGTTTTGGTTTTTGATTTTGTAAATAGATTGTGGGAATTTGCTAGCCTTAACGTTCTGTTGAACTGTTAAAGAATAATGAACTCTGCCTGGCCAGTGGAACTCTGCCTGGCCAGTGTGGCTCGTTGGTTGAGCATCGACCCATGCACCAAGAGGTCGCTGGTTTGATGCCTGGTCAGGGCACAAGCCCAGGGTGTGGGCCAGATCCCCAGTGGGGGGCATGCAGGAGGCAGCCAGTCTATGTCCTATCTCATCGATGTTTCTATCTATCTCTCCCTCTCCCTTCCTCTCTCTCTAAAATCAGTAAAGAAAAAAAATTTAAAAAAAGAATGAATTTCTTAGTGTATTTCCAGTAAACAGGCACAGCAGATATTAAAGCACTGTTTAAAGAAGATAGCACTATTGGTTCCCTGCTTTTTAAGCCATTTCCCAAGATACTGTTTTGCTTGCACCAACTCACCATCACATGTTTATTTGGGCTTCTTTGTGGTTAAGAGCTGGCTAGAATTACAAAGTCTCTTACTGGAATGAATGTGGAGAAAGTCAAGCTAATAACCTTGACAGATGTTATTTGAGATCGTTAGTATTTATATGCAAGAACTGCTCTTTTTAGTAATGAAAGTTAATTTTATAACATTAGTTTCAACTTTAGCTGCCATATTTTAGGCCTTTTAAAGCTTGAATAATAAAAGATGAGTAATTACTAAAAATAATACTGAAAGCTGGTGATTATAAGTTAGGGACTGATTAATGCTAGTTTAGACTATAGAATGTTTGGTGAAGGAATGTACAGGTTGTCAAACCATTATTGAAATAGTCCTAATAAGAAATATATACATTTGTCCTGGCCAGTTTTTCTCAGTAGTTAGAGCGTAGGCCTGTGGACCGAAGGGTCGAGGGTTTGATGCTCATCAAGGGCATGTACCTGGGTTGCAGGTTTCATCCCATGCCCTGTTTGGGGTCATGCTGGAGGCAACAACTGATATCTCTCTCTCTCCCCCCGTCTCCCCTCCGTCCTCGTCTTCTCCCTTCCACTCTCTCTAAAAATCAATGGAAAAATATCCTTGGGTGAGGATTAACAACAACAATATAAATTAATTAGGACTTAATACTGTGCTTAAACTCGGTCCAAATCATTTCTGTTTCATTTTGAATTTTAAAAGTAAACATATCAAAACGAACTCTTAATTGTTTAAAATGAGGTTCTTGTGTTTGTTTTCATGGCACTGAACAAAACTACCCAAGTTGTTAATAAGATATATTGTTTGAGCTATAATTAAGAGAGAAAAACTATATATTAGTTTGAATAGGGAAAATTTATTACTTTAAAAATTGAAAGGATTATTAAGTATAACAGGGAATTGGAGTAATGAGGGATCCGCTAATACAAAAAGAGAACTCTAAAGAATATAAAAATAGGAACTATAAGGAGCAGCTGCCTCTCCTGGGGTTGATATAGAATACCCACGGAAGAGCTGCCTTCTCCAGAGCTGATATTGGAGAGTACACAGCTGTGGCCCACTTAATGGTAGAGAAGTCACTGTAGCGCCATACCAGTAGAACGTGCTAGAAATCCTTCCTTTGGCCCTAGCTAGAAATTTGCCATATGGAGTATTGGGACAAGCTGGCTTCTTTAGTACCAGTGTCCTTTACCAAAGAAAGAGCTGCTGCAGTGCACAATGACTGAGACTCCTTATAGCATCAGTCTGGCACAGACACTTCACATAACCTTGGGTCTGCTGGATCATAGGTCCCATGTGATAGAGCAGCTTGCTTTGCAACTTAATCTTGTTGCATAGCCTCCTTTGTTCAGTTTTTCAGTCAAAGCTGGAAATCTCCCAGGTGACTCCCTAGGTAGGTGGAGGATTAGGACACTTAAATGTAGTGTATGTTGCCTCCAAAACTCAAAAAAGGCCTACCAAACCTTGTGCCTCTTTTGTTTTCACCGTAGTAGTTAGTGTTAGCTAAGAGGGACCTTTCCTTCCCCACTTCCAGCTGAGATTTAGACCATACTGGATAGGATAGTACTATTTCAGAGTTTGACCTAGTGGGAGTTTCTATTATTGATCATTTTTCCTGTTATAAATAACAGGCTTGTATGAGATGAGTTCTAAAGTCCCTTCAAGATCTACATGGGTTTTAGAATCTACTTTAGATTTAAAATTAGGCAAACTTTGCATTCTCTTTCATTTTGTATCTTTAAAAAATATCAGAGGTTTGTTAGTTGAATTAGCTTAAATTACTTAAATTAAGCAAGATAAAAGTATTTCCTCCTTATTGCTCAATTGTTGACACTTTTCTATTTTTTCTTGGTGTCACTGTCAATACTCCAAAGCTGTGTTCTCACAATAGTCAATGAGAAGACATGCTCAGAATAATGCCAAAGTGTAGTGATACATGTTTTCTGCCTATGTTCATGGAAATTTCATTTGATTCTTTTTTTTTTTTCTGAGAAATCAACCCAGTCATATTATAAAGTAGGCTGAGATGGTGGTGATCCACAGGTTAGAGTCTTTTTTTTTTTTATCCTCACCCGAGGATATTTTTCCATTTTTTGTACAGATAGAGTGGGAGGGAGAGAGAGGAAGGGAGAGAGAGAGAGAAACATCGACGTGAAGGGACACATCGAGTGGCTGCCACCCGCACGACCAACCAGGGCCGGGGACAAACTGCAACCGAAGTACGTGCCCTTAGCGGGAACCGAACCCGGGTCTCTCCGGACTGCAGGCTGACGCTCTAACCGCTGAGCCAAACCGGCCAGGGCCACAGGTTAGAGTCTTTATTGTCTGTGGAAATACTAAACAAAGGACTTCTTCATTGAGGAATAGTGATTGATTATATTTAAACACTATACTTTTTTAAAAATATGTTTTTGTTAATTTTTTTTTGGGAGAGAGAGATAGAAACATTAATGTGGGAGCACAAAAATTGATTGATTGCCTCCTGCACACCCCCCACTGGGGATGGAGCCCACAATCCGGGCCTGTGCCCTGACTGGGAATCAAACCAGTGATCTCTCAGTCCATGGGATGGCGCTCAACCATTGAAACACACCGGCTGGGCATATACTTTTCATTATTAGTAAAGGACAAGTTTCAAATGACCCATGGTTCCTATTATCTTTTTGCTTTATCCTACTTTCAGACTTTATTTTCCTTTTGACAGTTTTGTTTTTACTAAGGAAAAATTCTCTCAGTGTTACTTCATTTCGTTGATTGTTTCAGGCTTTGAAACTTATTTTTCTTTACCATTAAGATAATGATTTTGTTTACTGAATACAAGTTTTTACACTTTTTTTGTGGTTTAAAAAATATTTTCACCCTTCATAAAGAAAATAAATTCTGAGTTTAACAGCTTTTGACCATCAGCCTAGCTAACTAGGATAAAGTAGAGGAAGTTTTGAAAGTTTTCACATTTTATTTTTTAAATTGATGAGTGTTTACTTTCTTTCCGAAAAGAAAAGTATAATTGATAATTTTATACAACTCTTCTTTATGGAATACATTGTGGCTGACTCAGGTAGTCTTGAGGTGAGTGGTGTTTGGAAGTTACATTCATGGCACATGAGGACTTGACGTCTCCTTGAAAACCTGTAGTACTGATTGTACAGAGTTGGCCTTATTGGTGCCAAATCGTCTGTTTCATTTCATTTTATTTTTCAGTTGATAATATGCCTATTTATTTAAAAATGTACAGCCTAGCCAGTATGGCTCAGTGGATTGAGTGTGTCGACCCATAGACTAAGAGATCCTGGTTCGATTCCCAGTCAGGTCACATGCCCCGGTTATGGGTTCAATATCCAGTAGGGGGTGTGCAGGAGGCAGCCGATGGATTTTTCTCTCTCTCTCTCCCTTCCTCCCTCTCTCTCTAAAAAAATCAATACAAACATATTTTTAAAAATGTACACCTTGCCCTGGCTGGTTTGGCTCAGCAGTTAGAGCATTGACCCTCAGACCAGTGTCTCAGGTTTGATTCCGGCCACGAGCACATACTTCAATTGAATGTTTGTCTCTGGCCCTGGTCAGGGTTGTGCGGGAGGCAGCCAATCGATGTCTCTGTCTCTCTCTATCTGTCTCTCTCTCTCCCCCTCCCCCCTTCCCACTCTATCTGAATGAAGATACTTGAAAAAATATCCTCGGGTGAGGATTAAAAAAAAAATGTACACCTTGTTGAAAATTTCTTTAACAAATATTGTCATTAAACGTTTTACAAGTTAGTATGCCTTTATAAATGTCATTAGTATGAAAGTAAGTTACAAAGGCCTAAAAAATATTCAGATCATTTATGTGTGTAGTTTCATCTGAATATGCCAAACAATCTTGGTAAGCTCTCTTCTCTAATTGTTGAGATTTATTTTAATGTGGTCGTATTTGATTAGAGAATTTGAGCTCTTTTGTCATAGTTTTGTTTTATTAACAACAGTTGTAACCATGTTTATAAAGTAGGACTTCACTAGTTCTTTTCCTATTCAGTGAATTTCATGTTTTATGAAGTCTTACAACTTACCATGAACTATGCCTAAAGTAAATTTTATCTGCTTGTTTTATAATGCTTTTCTTTGCATTACATGTAGCTAGAAAAAAAACCTCAGTGACCTTTCAA